GTTTTGCACTTTAAACGACGATATATATAAACATGTATGTTCATTAGTTATCAACGGATCCAGTTAAAATGATTTCAGTATTTTCTAAATTTTCGCCTTGCTTTTTATCAAGACTGAACTATAACCATGCTACGAGTATCAAAACCAATTGCTAAAAAATAGTTCATATATATCGTCGTTTAAAGTACAAAACCGCGTATCAACAAAATGCAAACCCGCGTATCAAGATAATGCGAAACCGCGTATGTGAGGTGGCATAAATTATTTTCTAGAGAGTAAAAACATTCATATTTCAAAATGGTTTTCTTTTTATAAAGCAATCGCATTTCTGGCTAGTATATTTCAGGACGAATGGATAATGATTAAGCCAAGAGTTTGTGTGAACAAATCCCATTTTTGGCAGCCAATGTCAGATACGCGGTTTTGCATAATGACGATACGCGGTTTTGTACTTTAAACGACGATATGCGTGTATGTACATACAATCTTAAATATGTATACATATAGGCATGATAAAAACATAGCAAGGTAAAACCGTTCTCTCAATCCGTCGGGGATAATTTTTTTTTTGAAGTTTGCCAACATTTTAAAATCATATAAAATTGAGAGTAAAAAAAGGAATTGTTCAAAGTAGTTGCTGTTTGAGACTGAAAATGAGAATGTGTGTGTGAGTTTGTGTGTAAAATTTTAAAATTAAATTGCTTGCAAACGTCCAGAATTTGAAAGGTTCCTCTCAGCGTTTCTACCTTCCTATTTTTTTTATCATGCATATAGGTACAAAGCCGTGAATGCGCGGAGTTGCATAATCGGAAGTAATAATCAATTGTACCGCATTTCCTCTTACTCTGCATATGCCTAAATGTGTGCAACCATTGGCAATAGCAACTAAACACAGGGTGTCTCTAATGAATATAAAAATTTTCTGCTGCAATACACATGCTAAGCTCTCCGAAATTTTCTGCTGGGCTATGCGTTACAGATTTTTCAAATTTTCCACTACGGAAACCAAATATGTATACTAGGAATGTTAATCACGGGATCCCGGTCTTTTTTAAGTCCCGAAATTATTTGTCTAGAATCCCGGAATTTTCGGGATTTGTAATAATAGAAACGCCTTATGTTGACCAGCTTTGGCTATATTTCCTTTTGTATATTTAATATTTTTTTAAAAATGTGTAGCCCAATATACACACCCAGGAAAAAAATCGTGTTAAATCAACCAAATTTTAAACAATTTTGTGGTTATTATTTTTCAACGCGATATGTAATGTTATTTTCACATGAAGGAAATTTTTTAACATTTTTCCCTCTTGTTGACTTAACATTGGATAATTGTTAATTTAACGTTGAAAGTGCTGTAAATTTAACCTGAAACATCGGTTTATTTCAACAAGGCATGTGGTTGGTTTCACAGGATATTCTACATGAAAATACTGATTGAATCAACAGTTGTTGTTAAAATAACACTACGTCGTCATGTTAAAAGAACCATATTTTAATGTTATTTTAATATTACATCGTGTTACTTTGTGTTCCTACTTTTATAAAATAAATAACAATTTGTTTAGTTTATTTTTATTAAAAATATGAAATATTTACACTGTTGACTTAAAAACTAAGTACTTATCTATTTATTACACAAAATTCATACACAAAAATTTCATATGTACATACTAGAGGTTTACGCCGACAGGCTTTGCGGCGGCGGCGACGCCGGCGCGTCAGGAAACGCCGGCGCTCCTACCCATAAGGCAGAATCCAAAGTGCCATGAGGCTACTAATCTTATCATGTCATCTCGTCAGCGTTACGTATTCGCTATGACAATTCAGACTGTAATTGTATTTAATTCATTTATTGAAGTAGTTTTAAATTTAAATTACGTTACTTTCTACTTGAATTAAAATGTTGAGTGTCTGCCGCTGATGTAACAGAAGGAAGTCTGAAGCAAATACATACATACATCTCTATGTTCTTTACAAATCCGTATGTACTATTTAAATTTAAAGAAATAAAAAAAAATTAAAAAGTTAAGTTATTGGGGTAGTTTATGTCGCTATCAATAAATTCTTGCAATAATCTTATCAACCGTTATGTTAAACTACGGAGTTGTTACGATTTTTTGTGAGTTTTATATTGAAAACAGGCTTTGGTCTACTTTTTTTCCAAAAATTTAACCCACCAACTCCCACCAGAACGGGCGTTTTTGACTCACTGTTTAAAAAATGGTTAAAATTTCCACTAAAATATTAAGCGCCAAATTTTTCTAAGGAGAACCAGATGTAAAGAAAAATAATAGTAATTTTAGCAAAACGGGGGACTTTAACCCTGTGTAGAAGACATTACGATGCGAGGGAGCAAAACCTTCCTGGGATTTGAACACCACTTAGGAATGCTAACGTAATTGTCACACAGCCACCTAGTACTTGTATTCGTCTGCGGGACCCCAGAATAAAGTAACTTACTAACGTAAAAATTAGCAAAAAAAAGTGTTTGCTTTTTAATAAAAGTGTGTTTAAAATATTAAAAAAATACACAGGAAAATCAACTTGTCTTTTTTTTATCGCCAATAATTGAGGAGTTAGATGCAATAAGGCCACTGTGGTGTAGTGGTAAGCAGTGCGCGCTTCCACTCCGCAACGCCTGGGTTCAAGCCCTGGTCAAAGCAGCATCGCAAAAAACATAGAAAAAGGTTTTTCCTTAACAACGGTCGTCCCTCGGCAGGCAATGGCACACCTCCGAGCAGTGTTGCCGTTTTAGCCCTTTGGTGGCTAGATTTAGCTACCACATAATTTTTTTGGCCACATAAATTTAAAATTGCCCCCAGCCCTTTTTTTAGCCCTTTTTAGAATTTATTTATTTTTGGCATGAAAAAGTTGTATATGCTTAATTTTTTTTTTGCATTTATGTAAGAGATGAATTTTTAAACTAAGAAAGACTGATATATATACATATATGTATTGTATGTTCCTTACGCTTTTATAAATACATACTGTAAAAGTATTGGGGCTGTTAACTTATCTTTTAACGATTTAACTATAGTTTAAAATAGATAAGTCCACGGCCCTTAATATGCTAAATTTGTTAAATTACCCATGAAGTCTATTGATCGTGTATGTTCTTGTGGTGTGTGCTGGTGTCGTTAGTGGTGAAATTAGCTCAATTTTCTAAGTAAAAAGTATTTTGGCAGAAATTTCTTGCAATATATGAGTCAATGCCGTATTTGTGGAAGATTACGTTCACGATATTGCAGTTGTGAATTACAAAAAAAAAAACAATGTTTAACAAAATGCTAGAAAAATTATCAAATTTCGGCTCTAATCATTTCGATCTTTCCTCGACCTCATTTGTAAAGAAATAAATATTGTACCAGAATGCTGGTAAGTTATATGCTTCGAGCCTGATGGTACAATCACTTGATGGAACCAGCAAGCTGGTGTCGTATATTTCCCCTTTTATACAAAAAGGTTTTTGGTTTGATAAAATATTAGCTTTTTTTCCAAAGTTCATTGTTTTTATATACCATTACTTATTAAAAATGTTTGTTTTTATATACCATTACTTATTAAAAATGTTTAATGTATAGGACTACTCCCCATTGCTCCCTATGCTGCTGTGTATAAGCATGTAATTTTGTATACTCCCTTTAACACGGGATGTCCTAGGGTGGCGAGTAATTCCTTTTACCTCCTAAATGAGCAATCAGGGAGTTCATTCAGAACTTAACTGCTCGCTTAGAATATATCCCATTACTCTCCTAACCGAGCAATATAGGAGTAAAAACCCGAAAAATCTAGTTTAATGCTCCTAAATCATGCCTCAGAGAGCATTCTTTGCTTGCTCGCTTAGGAGATCTCCTATTTGACTTCTAAGCTAGTAATAAAGGAGTACAAAACCGACAAATCTATCTTGCTGCTCCGAAATCAGGTCAAGGGGAGTACTCTTTTATTTCTCATATAGGGAGATCTCTCTTCAAGTTCTAGTGGGCGTGTACACTTATATATGTATATGTAAGTAAAAAATTTTAGCTACCATTTTTAGCCACAACGACTATTTTTAGCTCTTTTTTAGCCCTTTTTTTAAAGGAATTTGGCTACCACTAAAAATTATGCGCGGCAACACTGCCTCCGAGTGTATTTCTGCCATGAAAAACAGCTTCTCATAAAAACACAATCGCCGTTCGGAGTCGGCGTAAAACTGTAGGTCCCTCCGCTTTGTGTCACAACATTAGGGCGCATGCCACAAATCGGAGGAGAAGCTCAGCCAAACACTAACATATGTGTAAGCGCCAATCTATTATTATTATTATTAGATGCAATAAGGGCGCTTCTGTTAAAACTGATTTCTGAGATATTGGCGTTAAAGTTTTTCATGTGTTGTAACTTTCTTGTTGTTGTAGTATATAAAAAATTAGTATTGAAAAAATTTTTCTACTGCGGAAAAAAATCATCAGATTACCAGTATTCGACCCTAATTTAACTGTTATAAACGCTTTCGATCGAAAAACGTGTTACCTATGTTTTTTCGGGGTAAGGTTTTTTTGGAAATGTTCAATGCCCCGAATTATACAAAAAAAACTCCTTTAAAAAGGTAAATTTCATTTCGTAAAATAGTGTTTTATACGAGTAGTATTTAGTTCCTTTAAACGATATATTTCAATGTGCATACATCATGAAAATTTTGTACAAAATTCCTTAGGCGCCGAACGCCGCCGCCGCGCCGATATTTTCGTAACTCGGCGGCGGCGCGTGAGAAATTACAAAAAACGGCGGCGGCGGCGGCGTGGCTCGACGGCGTATACCTCTAATACATACATACACTATAGTGCGAAACTGAGTCCATGGTGATTTTTGTTGTACATGTGCAAGGTTTTTAAAGTAAAATTTTTTTTGTTACTTTTTTATAAAAACATGGTTTATGCTTTGACCAAAACCATATAAATCAAACTTTCAGTTGTTATGCAGAGCTTAGAAAAACTCAAAAAATTTTTATAAAAATTGTGGACTTTTAGAACTTTCAAACATTTTTGGGCATGCAGTTTTATAGCCTGTTAAATTTTAGTCTGATAAAGCGCAAGTTTTAAGCGGATAAAAAATTGCTGACGGCTTTTTCGGTATAAAGCATTTGAACACTTTATCAATCTACTCCAACAAGTTTTGAGTATCTTTTAAATAATTCTTAAGTGTAATAACACCCTAGCACAATCCGCAATACCAAAAAAGTAGGATTCGATAAAATTATATATGGATTTCGCTTGTATCGGATATTCCAAATTTAATACATGAAAGATTTTAAATAAAGTATCAAGTGATTTTAAAAATGTCGGTACCATGTAAATTATACTGTCGAAAATAACGTAAAAAGAGTCTAACTTAGTTAGTTCCTCTCCGACTACCAATAGTAGCGGCTGAAGAGGAAGATTCTTTGATTTAACTTAATCTTTAATTCGTGGTACATCCTCTGATAATCGTTTATGCTGCTGCAATGCAGCAATGTCACTGCTTGCGCATCACATATTGATGGCTTCCATTTAAGCCGTTTTTCACCAGAAGTTTGTCCAACGGAAATTAATGACGGTTTAAGTATCGCATGCAAAAGCAGTGTCAATAAACAATCCATTGAGTCTGTATAAGAAAATAAAATAAATACTTGAAAAAATAAATATTAGAATTTATGCTTTACCAGTACTGATATTTTTGTCAATTTGTTTTAGCATATCAATGGACGCTGCATCTCTTATTTTTGTCTTCATGTAAGGTATAATTGACTTTCTAAATTTTGGCCATTCGTTTAGCAAATTCTGCGAACAGTTGGGAAATTTCGCTTCAAAATCAATCTCAACCTGCAGTATAATTGAAAATATACAAATTCCAAAGTTTTATATCATAAAATAAGAAAATTTAAAATACATATATAAAGCTAATCTTACCAAAGTGTATCCAAGACTGTGTTTCAGCTTATTACTAATTTACTATTGCTCGCCTGCTCCGACAAACTTGATTGGGTGGGTTGACATTTAGGTGCAATGCTTAAAGCGCAGTTACCCACGGACGTAAAAATGGAGAACGTGTCAGCTGACACGATCTATCTTATGGGATATGCGTGTTAACAAAAACTCACCACCGCATGACCGTGACGTAGACGTTGCTTCTCTCTCTTCCTATCAAAAGCATACTTGATATCTTTCTACGTACTTCTACGCTATGCTACGTACACGTTCGTGGGTAACCGCGCTCTTAGTACTCCTGTTTCTTTTTTTATTTTCCTTCGGATGTTTGTTGCCTTATCATAAAGTTTGCCTGTTGAATTTTTGCCATATCGACGGTTGCAGCAATAGCGCTAAATAAAAGTAAAATAAATGCATTTAAGTGTTGAATTTTTTTTTAATATTCACAACGTTTTTCAAGCTAATTTATTCTGTTATTTTTCTATAAAAATTGTATCCAAGCTTTAGCCAAAACCATATAAATCAGAGTTTCGAACTTTCTTCCACTTTTTATTTCGTAAGAAATTCATGCTTATAAGGAAAAAGTGCAAAAATCTGTCAGCTAAAAAAATTATTAAAAATCAGTGCTATTTTTTATCCGCTTGAAACTTGCTCCTCCTTTACATATGTATTTACAAATTTTGATAGTAAGTGAATATGAAAATGCATACATACCATAGCACTGATCGCGTTGAGAAGTGGTCAACAATGGTATTTACCAAAATGTGACGACTAACATCTGACAGCACGGTCTTTTCTTTATATTGTTTAAAGATGCTTTGACATCTTTCAGTGGCATTAAGTATAACTTTAAATTCTTTGCTTCCATGTCTCTTATCGAGTCGTGAGACTCTTGGCTAGAGTTTATCCAACTCTTGCATGATCCTATTGACGAAATGGTATCAGCCTTAAAATAAAAAAAAAAGTATGCAGAGCTTATCGTTGATGTGAAAATGATTTACTCACTTCATTCTGTCGCCAACGTGCAACTCTTTCTTTAAACTTTACTCTCGTTCCGAGCATTGATGCAGGGAAAAGTTCATTTATGTCCCCATTGTTGATGAAATACAGACCTTCTAAATCCATTCCGCAATCTGTCAATAACATAAATATGCATATGGTTCCGCGCAGTTTCTCAAAGAACTTACCGAGAATTCTTTGATAAACTTCTTCACTGAAGTTAATTTTACCACATACGACGTCTTTCACATTTTCTTTTTCGCGTGGAGCTTCAGTGGCTTGGCTTTGCTGCAGTGAAGTCTCAACTTAATTTTCCATGGTTAAATCACCATCAACAACGAAATATATGCCCGCCGATTCCCCAAAGACACTTTCTGTACCCATTCTTCTTAATATTTAAATAGTTTTTTTTTTAATAATCTTTCACAAATAATACACCAAATAAAAATGCAACCGAATGACGAAGAACGCGCACGCAAATAAAATATTACGGTACTTTTATGTTCTCTCACCACATACCCTGTAAAATTCACAATAGCTCATCTCAAAACAAACAGAAATCATGTTTCCAGACCTTTTTAACAAGAACTAAATGTAAAATTAACACTTTATGTGTTTGAATCAACATTATTCAGGTTGCAACAAACAGGAATCACGTTGCCATATATTTTTAACACTATTCACATGTAAATTAAACACTATACCTTGGTAAATTTACCAAAAATACTTCATGTTACTCTTAACACTTTTTTCCTGTTAAAAATATCATGTTAAAATGGAAAAATTGGATCGTGTTACTTAAAAATCGAGGGTATTTTTCTGGGTGCACATAATACCTTGTGACAGGCAATTTTACACACAAAAAAACAATATACATATTCGCGAAATCAAGGGCCAAATACAGTAAAATTGCATTCTTAATTTTTCTCTCTGACGTCAGAATTTTTTAAAAGAAACTTGAAATTTGAAAGACATGGGTAATTCAAAAAATTATTTTAAAAATTTAGTGCAAAGTACTTTTAAAACCGGTATGGGTATCAAATTAAAGAGAAACAAATAACACCTTTTGGGGCGTTAGGAAAGATTAGGTATTGAAAATGCCCTTTTATAAATTTATCCTTGAATATCCTTGAAATTTTTCAATTCTTATTTAAAAAAAAAAAATTATATGTTAAGGACTAATTTTATAAGCTTAAAAAAATAAAATAGATTAAAGGGGCATTCCAATTCCTCCTTGTGAACCCAAAAAATTCTGCAGTAGGTACATACACATTTTCAATCAATTTCAACTTCACACTCAGTGCCTACATATGTATTAGCACTTTTTTGTGACTTTGTGTTGGATTCTAACACAAAGAGAAACACAGTTTTCGATTGCTTTAAATTCTACAGAATTTTTCTTTCCTTTGGTACCCATATTTTTGTTTTACATTGCACTGAATTTATTAAATATAAAAATTATAAAGTCTTTTTAAAAAAATCATGACGTCAGGCAAATGCCCATTTATATGCATTTAATTATATGTAATATGA